TTGTTTTGCATTATTTTACACCATTTATACTGTTTTTAATGCTATTCGTATTGTTTTATATTCTTTTACACTATTTTACAGTTTTTGTACTATTTGTATTGTTTTGCATTATTTTACACTGTATTACATTGTTTACATAATGTTTCAGTGTGATTTTATACTGCTTTATAACATTGCTATGCTGGTTTATTAAGTTGCCCTGAGTTGTTTTAGGACGAGTGGCTATATTTCAATGAATAAAGAGTAAATAAATTGTTTTTTTCGATGCAAGGTTTTGTTGACAGCTGTAGCTAGAGAGAGAGGCTCTGGGGATGAAGTCGCACAACAGTTTCTTTCCGAATGGACACAACAGAGAGATTGTGTTTTGTCCCACTGGTTATTTATTTATACAACTTAAAATTAACACCGCACACAAACTTTTCCAGCGCTTATAGAATATTTGTGGGCCCTTGATGCTCTCTGAGCTTGGTAGTTTTCTTGCAGACGTTTTGTGACCCAACTAGGGAACATCATCAGTGCCACAAAGGAGTGAGGTTTGCACTGATGATGTTCCCTAGCTGGGTCACAAAACATCTGCAAGAAAACCATCAGGCTCAGAGAACACTAAGAACCCCACAGTCCTCGTCCTCTTCCTCTTCTCTACAAATAACCACTCCCTTCTAGCACTGATGATGATACCTAGTTGGGTTATGAAAGGTTTGCAAGAAAACCACTAAGCTCAAAGATCACAAGGATCCACAGTCCTTCTTCTCTCCTCCTCCTGCTCTTCCTCCTCCACCTCCACTCTGCAAACCCTACTGCCTTCTAGCATTGATGATGTTACCTAGTTGGGTCATGAAAAGTCTGCAAAAAAAAAACCCATCAGGGTCAGAGAACACCAAGGACCTCACTTCTCCACTAGCCTGCAAAATTTCAACCTGTAATTCATTACTCTGCAAACAAAAAAATGCAGCTATTGTTGCAACCACGTCTGGTGCTTCAATGCTAAGTGATGCCACACAGAATGCGTAGCGCTACTCAAGCTTATTCTGCTGCACATTTGACACGCTTCGGTAAGTTTTTGCTAAGAAAAAAGTCTCCGCCGATTCTTTCCTACTCGCTGGAGGTTTTAGGGTCTTCACTTCCTGGAAATCTTGCAACAGCCGTCTTCGGAGGAGGTGGGTCTCCTTGCCATCCCAGAATTTGCACAGCAAGGTCCCTCCCGGCCGCAAAATGCCTCGGGCCAGATCCAGAAGAGACAGGCAGAGATGAATCAACTTTAGATGATCAAATTCCCGGATGCCGGTTGCGTTCGGGGCCATGTCGCTTAGGATAATGTCTGCTTTTCCTTTCGGGAGAAGGGTTTGGATCTCCTTTTGGGTGCCCGGATCAGTGATATCAGCATGAGGGAGAAAAACTGCTCCTTCCAGAGGGAACAGATGAAGAAGATCAACTCCGAGGACAAAGCCAACAGGCTGCTTTGGGTCTACAGGGCACAAAAAGCAGATTAAAATACATTTATCGGTCTTCAAAGAAGACTTTGGCTAGACACCAGGCTGGTTAACTGATCCGTAGTTTACAACTGTCCAAACTTAGCCACTTTAAGACTTGTGGACTTCAATGCCCAGAATTCCCCAGCCAACATGGCTGCCTGGGGAATTGAAAGAGTGAAGTCCACGAGTTTTAAAAGTTCTCAAGTTGGAGACCTCCGATGTGCTCAATTAGCCCCATTTTCTGATTTTCTACTGGGTTTCAACTAATTAAATGAGCTGGACCCGCATACATTAGTTTGCAGATCACGTTTGGCATTTGAGTATTTGGATTTTTCCTCTGTGGGAGGAAGAATAGTTCTGAGAAGAATTGTTAAAAGAGAGAAAATGTTGATAAAACCTGGCTCCTTTTGAAACCTTGGTGCCAATATTAGTCCGTCCACCCAGATGAACTAGACAAAAACACGACAAGCTAATTCTATTTTATTTTAAGGCAGAGACTTTTAGATCTGAAAGTACAAACTTCTGTGATCAATTAGGATGGATCCTTTTCAAGTGTCTTCCTCTGACTGTTAAGCAACTGGGGGCTCCTGGGTCTCTTATCGAATTGTTTCTTCTAGGCCGTATTTCTTCCCTTTGTCCCCCAAGGTTATTCTCACATTTCATTACGATATCAACATTCACAAAAAGATACTTGTGATGCTTAGTCAGAATTCCAGGAAGGAATCAATTTTCCTGGGGGTTTCGCCCCCCCTTTTTAACTGCTGGCACACTGATGAACAATACAAGAGCGAGTAAATTCTAGCCATTTTTATGAGGAAAAGGAAACCGAGGTCATAAAGATAAAATCACTGGCTAGAGGGTTCTCCTCCAGGAGCTGTTATATAATGACATATTGCCTGGGAACCTAGAAATCACATAATAGCCACTGATAGGCAAATTTATGGGGCAAGTGAGTCCAATTGCTCTGAAAGACACCTACACCCCCTGAATTATCAAGTGGACAAGACCGATACATCTACTAATCCACAGGTCATTGTATCGGTGGCTTGAGGGAACTTTAGCATACACTATTTATTACCCAGAAGTAATGCTATGCAATAAATCTTTTTTTTTAAAGGCTCTGCATAAATGGATTCTTCCTTTTTAACAGAAAGCTGTTTCCCAGTTTCTAGAAACTATGAAATGCCAGGCAGCAAATGGTCTACTTACTGATTGTTCAAGGTGTAAAGCGTGAGTTAGGGCAGAACTGCTGTATTCTTCCCAGGGATAATAATATAGACTTCTGTTCACTTATTAAGTAGAAGTATTGAGTGACCTTCCTGGCAGAGTTGACATACTGCATTAAGCTAAGATTTTGTTAGTTATGTGTCTGTGGAGATTCTCAGTCATCCAGGTCATGGTTGTCCCAAAGATGTTTTCCCAAATGCAAGTGGACTTTCTTGTTTGTTTGTTTTTCCTTGAAAATGTTTCACTTCTCATCCAAGAAGCTGAACTGAAGAAATTTCTTGGATGAGAAGCGAAACACTTTCAAGGAAAATAAAAGCGAAGAAGTCTATTTGCCTTTTAAAAAGCACATTTGGGACTTATTTATATGTATTATACAAGCCATAGTTGGATAGGTCACACATGCACTGGGACAATAAACCACAGGTTATTAAAAAGCAGGACTAAATAAGCCACCTTACGACAGCAAAATCTGTGAACTCTGGCCATAACAGAGCTTCTCTCTATGTGCAGGCTGACAAGGAAAATAGGAAAACCACTTTGCATTCCATATCCGTGGCATTTAAAAAAGAAACATTACTGAAAGTCACTCACGACCAGCCTCTTAATCAATTCTATCATTTTATTTTTAGCACCTTCCTAACAAGAATGGTCTTTTTTTTATGAGCAAAGCTTTCTGTAAGGATCAATAATTCAGAAAACTTCTTCATCAATCACTGTCTTGTACTGTCGTCAAACCACTTCAGAGTCAGCCAACAGTATCATTTTCTGCTGTCAGGGCACTTTTGCCTGACATTAATTAATTAAATTGAGGCTTTTCAAGACAGCTCTCACCATCATTTCCCAGAGGGAAAACCCATGATATTAAAAGGAAGCCTTGGGTAGAGATTTTTTTTAAAAAAATGCATATTCAAACGGAGGGAAGAATTTCTCTAGCCATGTTCTGTCAATATTTGAAAAAACATGGCATGGTAATATTTATTGGATAGAAGGAGATTAATATAAATAGGCAGATCTAAAACAATCACACTATATGAAGTTTGCGGCAACCCCACTTCCACCATCCCACTTACATATGGCAGAGGAAATGGGAATGGAAAAAATTGAATCTGAAGAAAAACACATTTACAGCTTTGAAATATTCCAGTTACTTCCTAACCAAGGCTGCTGTGTTGATTTACAGTTTGCGCAAAATGCCATAAAACAGGTAGGAATTGCAAAAGCAATCAAGGTCAGTCTTAGGCATTTTGGTTCCTCTTTTTAAATCATGATCTCTGGGTTTATTGACATCTAAGACAGGCAAGCCTATCTCCTTCCCAGGTTGGGGTTGTGTGTATGTCATTATAATCATAAAATCTATCACTGTTTTTTTCCGGAAAGGCCAAGAATAGATCCTAAGAGGGACAAAGCTGTAGATATACAGGAAGCCTTTGATTTACGACAACAAAAATTCTGTTGCTAAATGAGACATTTGTTAAATAGAGTTTTGCCCCTTTTTGCAACCTTTTTTGTTCACAACTGTTCACAACTGTTCAAACTGTTGAACAGTTGTTCAAACTGTTCACAAAACTGTTCACAAATGTTTTGTTAGTAACACGGTTTGTTAATCGGGTTTGTCTGTTGATTTTGCTGGTCAGAATGTTGCAAAAGGCAATCACATGACCCTGGGACACTGCAACCGTCATAAATATGAGTCAATTGCCAAGCATCTGAACTTCAATCATGTGACCATGGGGAGGGTGTAAGTCAAAAGTCACTTTTTTCAGTGCCGTCGTAACATTGAAGGTCACTAAATGAACTGTTGTAAGTCAAGGACTACCTGCGTATCCTTCCAATCCGCATATGTTCTCGCTATTATTTTGCTTCTCTGTCACCAAGCAGGGAATAGAGGATGTGAATATTGACCTGAAAAGATGTGCCAAAATATGTTTGTCCTTCCCATTAGAGGGAGTTTTACCAGGGGTGGGATTCAAATTTTTTAACAACGGGTTCTGTGGCCATGGCTTAGGTGGTCAGCATGGCTTGGTGGTCATGTGACTGGGTAGACATGGCTTGGTGGTCATGTTATTGGCTGGATGTGGCCAACTCAATATCACTCACATCGAGACACGCATCTCCTCGCCTGGCCTCTCATGACTGCAACGTATGAAAAGTGTGAAAAATGGTCAAAACAGACTCAGCAGCCTTAAGCGTCCACTCACCAGATCCTGCGGCATTGACTCTTTCAACAGCCACCTGAGCCCAGGCACCAGGGGCCGTCCCGCAGTCCAGGACATGAAGGCCAGGCCAAAGGAGGCAATGTTTGTCATCAATCTCCAGCAATTTGAAGGCACTTCGGCAACGGTAGTTCCTTTCTTTGGCTCTCTTCACAAATGGATCTCGGAAATGTCTCTCCAGCCAGCGATGCTCTGCCCCGGTTTTGGATTTCAGATGTTGCCCCGTTGTGTGGATTTTCTGGATCTGGAGTAAAATGGTGGGCAGCCTCCGAGGTCTGCAAGGGAGAAAAACCAGTGAGGTTGCTGAAAATTAGCAACAGGTACAAACACAGCAAGATGGATGGATGGATGGATGGGTGGGTGGGTGGATGAATGGATGGATGGATGGATGGATGGATGGATGGATGGGTGGGTGGGTGGATGAATGGATGGATGGATGGATGGATGGATGGATGGATGGATGGATGGACGGACAGATGGTTCAATGGGTGGGTGGGTGGATGGACAGACAGACAGATGGTTCAATGGATGGATGGACGGATGGAAGGCTGGATGGAAGGAAAGAAACAAGGGAGAGAGGGAGGAAGAAAGGAAGGAAAAGCAAAGCAAAGGGAAGGGAAGGGAAGGGAAGGAAAAGGAAGGGAAGGGAAGGGAGGGGAAGAAAATTGTCCTTATCTTCTGGACCAGCATTTCTCGATCTCAGCAACTTTAAAATGGGGGGACTTCAACTCCCAGAATTCCCCTGCCAGCGTGCTTTCACGTGCATGGCTTTCCATTCCCACAATCCCTCCAGAGTGATGCTCTATGGAAATAACCCGGGCAGGCAAGAGGAAGAGCTATAATTAAACAACCATGATAAAAAAGGCACCTCAGCCCACCCAAGGAAAAGGGGCGTGGGAATCTTGGCAAGCCTAATTCGTGAGACCCCACCCCACCCTTCCCCAGCCCCGAACAAAGGAAGCAGGAATTGGGGGGGGGGGGCTCTGGTTGCATTCGGCGCCACTCACCGGCTCATGGTTTCCCCGGCCACTTCCGGGTTCTGGGGGGACACTTGTCGGGTTGCACCGCGTCCCTCATCCACAATCATTGTCTCCCCGCCCCCCCGGAAACACCGGTCCGTCTCCTACGTTCCGTTTCCCTGCACGCTTTTTGTTTTTTTATTGCATCCGAGAGGGGCTTCGTTCCTTTCAGGTTTGGAAGGAGCGCATTGGGGAGGGTCGCCTCCCTGTAGGGTCTGGGGTGTCCCTCTTTCTCCTCCCCCACCTATGTTGTTTGCAGGCTTGCCTTTGACATGAACAGGGGGAGGGAGGGAGGGAGAAACGCTGGTCTAGAAGATAATAGAAATTTCTTTCTTTCCCCCCTCTCTCATTTCATCTCTGTCCTTTCTTCTGTCCTGTTTTCCTTCCTTCTCCCTTCCCTTTCATCTCCTTCCTTTCATCTCCTTCCTTCCTCTCATTTCATCTCCATCCTTTCCTCCTTTCCTTCCCCCCCTCTTTCATCTCCTTCATCTCCTTCATTTCCTTCATTCCCTCCTTCCCTTTCATCTCCTTTCTTCTCATTTCATTCTGTCCTTTCTTCTTTCCTGCTTTCCTTCCTTCTTCCTTCCCTTTCATCTCCTTCCTTCCTTCCTTCCCTTCCTCCCATTTCATCATTTTTCATCTCGGTCCTTTCATCTCCTTCCTTCCCTCCCTCCCTTCCTCTCATTTCATCTTCTTTCCTCTTGTTTCATCTCCTTCCTTCCTTCCCTTCCTTCCTTCCCTTTCATCTCCTTCCTTCCTTTCATTTCCTTCCCTCCCTCACCAGCAAGTTGCCCTTAGATGAAATAGAATATATTGGAGCATTTAAAGATACTCCAGATGTTTTTCCCAGATTGTCCTTTTACTAGTGCTTTGGCCATGTACCTGTCCCGCTTGCAAAGCACAGCATAAGTGACCTCGGCCCTTCCTTTTATCTTCCCCTCTCTTGCAACCTGCCAGAGCTTCCTACAAGATTTCTGTGGATTTCCCTGTTGATGCTTCCCCCCCTCCCTTCTTCTTGACCTAGGGTGCAGCATGCTGACAACTAAGCTGTACACCTTGGTGCTGGTGGTGCAGCCGCAGCGCGTCCTGCTTGGCATGAAGAAGCGTGGCTTCGGGGCCGGCCTTTGGAATGGCTTTGGGGGAAAGGTGCAGGCAGGGGAGACGGTGGAGCTGGCAGCCCGAAGGTGAGAGGACAACCGGATGAGCCCACAGCCGGCCTTCTCCAATTCTTTGGAAGAAGTTGCAATTTTGGAATTGCGCAATGCAGCCTTTGTGACTTGTTCTACTTTGTGGGCCAAATGGAGTCGGGATGATTCATTTGTGGATGGTGTTTTCTTTTGGCTTGATTTTTTTTTAGTTCAATTGTCGGCCAAGCAGGGGGACTCGCCTAGATGCTGGGCGCTTCTTAAATTAAAAATTGGTGAAATGACTTCGGGGAACATTTTGGGAGAGGCCACGAATGGGCGCGGATTCACTGTGTTTCATCACCTGGGAGTCATTTCTTTCATTATTATTTAGCGCATGATGGGAATGTGACAAGGAGAAGTAAACACAGACGCACAATTCAAAGCAAAAGGCGCCCGTAGCATCCCTTAAGCTACACGTGCTCCCTGGGCGGTGTCAAAAGTCTGGAAGATTCAGTTGTCTCAGCTACTGACTTTCACAGTTTTCGTTCCAACTTGACTTCTGTGGACCTCATCCCCGTATTTAAGAGGTTCCTAAAGGGGCATGAGTGAGTGCACGAATGTGACTAGTGTCCCTGTTACACTTTAGTTTGTTCATTTTGTTCACTGGAATTTGTAATTTTTGTTTGACAAAGGGAGGGAGGGAGGAAGAGAGAGAGGAAGGAAAAGAAATAGGAAGGAAGAAAAGAAGAAGGAAGAAAGGAGAGATGGGAAGGAGGAAAAAGAGAAAAAAAAGAAAGAAAAAGAAGGAAGGAAGGAAGGAAGGAAGGAAGGAAGGAAGGAAGGAAAGAAAGCCATGACAAATAGAAGAGTATTTCACCAATGAACAGCAGGTATGGACCTACACTACATGATTATTAAAAGACTGCTTGGGTTTATGGCCTATTTCCATCTAAATTTAAGATTCACTAAACTTACACTATTTGCTTCCTGAAGATGTAGTTGGTTATTTCCCTTATTTCCAGGGAACTTCAAGAAGAGAGCAGCTTGACCGTGGACATCTTACAGAAAATGGGTCAGATTACCTTTGAGTTTGTAGGCAACTCGGAGCTGATGGAAGTCCATATCTTTCGCGCTGACAGTTTCCATGGAGACCCTACCGAAAGTGACGGTAGGAACGTGTGTGGGAGTAATAGTAAGAGTTAGGGAAGAGTGCAAGGTTAAACTGGCCTCCATCCGTAATAACAAGATCCCAGCTGCCACTGTGGGTTTTGTTTTTAGCCTGTGGGTATGACGCTGACAGGATTCAGTTGATCAGAATGGAGATAGAAAGGACCTTGGAGGTCTTTTAATCCAGCCATCTGCTCAAGCCATTTGTACCATTTGAGACAAGTGGCTATCCAGTCTCTTTTTTTAAAAAAAAGCCCCAGTGTTGGCGCAGCCACAACTTCAGAAGGTAGTTTATCCCACTGGTTAATTGTCCTCAGTGTTAGGAAGCCTTAATTCCATATTGCTCCTCTCCTTGATTGGTTTCTACCTGTTCCTTCTTGTCCTTGCCTTCTGGTGCTTTGGAGAATAATTTGACCCCCTCTTCTTTCTGGCAGGCCCTCAAGTACTGGAAGACTGCTATCATGTCACCCCTAATTCTTCTTTTCCCTAGACTAGCCAAACCCAAATCCTGCGACTGTTCTTCCTATGTTTTAGTCTCCAGGCCTTTAATCATCCTAGTTGCTTTTCTCTGCACTTTTTCCAAAATTCCATCGTGTCATCATTGCAACTTTACAAGGGCTGCAACCTCCAGGATGTGTGCGTGTGTGTGTGTGTGTGAGAGAGAGAGAGAGGGAGGGAGGGAGGAGAGAAAGAGAAAAGGAGAAGAGAAGAGAGAGACAGAGAGAAGAGGAAAACGAGAAGAGAGGAGACAGAGAGAGAAGAGAAAGAAAGAGAAAACAGACAGAGAGAAAAAGAGGAGGGAGTGAGAAAGGAGGAGAGAAAGAGAGTAGAGACGGAAAGAGAGAGAGAGAAATTATCACCATTTGTTATCTTCCAGCCAGCTTCCAACTAGCAAAATCGAGGAAGCTGGATTTGTTTAGTGACCTTATGGTTCACCTGCAGTGATTTGTTTAGCAGCCATGGCAAAAACAAAAAAGGTCATAAAATAGGGTATGACTCGCTTTAACAACTGCTTTGCTTAACGACAAAAATTTCGGCCCCAATTGTGGTTAGAAGTCAAGATCTACCTGTACTTTTTTTCTCTCCTATTGCAGAAATGCGCCCTCAGTGGTTTGACGTGGACCAGATACCTTTCAAGGAGATGTGGCCGGATGATATCTATTGGTTTCCTCTTCTGCTCCAGAAAAAATATTTCATGGGCTATTTTAAATTTCAGGGGCAAGAAACTATCTTAGAATATAGCCTGAAGGAGGTGGAGAAGATGGAGACATAATGGACCATGGCAGGCAAAGAACCACCGCCGGCTCTATAGCAACACAACTCTCCTGCCAAATTCATCGATAATTGACTTTCTAGAGGAAAAAAAAAGCCTTCAAAACGACTTGTTCATGTACAGAAATGTGTTCCGTGATCAAAGAGTATTAAATTATGGGAAAATACGGTCCAACCAGAGGAAGAAATGCCGGGATAGCCTCAATACCATGAAGAAAAAACGCTTTGATCGTACACATTGCAATAAATTCATTCAACATGAAATAAACTTTCAAACTTTTAATAGAGTTTTACATTTCTCTTCTTACAAATAGATCTTTTTTTTTTTGCAACTTTTGGGGCAGGGGGCCTGGGGATGTCAGACTCCGTAAACATTTATGGAAATAAAGACATTCTCGCCATTTAATAAAGTGCTTCATTTAAAAAAAAACAATACATTTTGTAAAGTGGACACTCTTTTACAAAAGTCAGATTTAATGCCAGGATGCTAGAAGAAGCCCATCCACCCCAAACCAAAAACATGACTTGGAAAACATTTTTAAAAAGGCAAAATTTACTTTCCTGAGAATTTGGCCTTTAGTCCCTTCGGATGGCTTCTTTTGCCCTGAAGCCTTAAATCATCTTGCTTTAAAAAAATGTTCCGTGGTCCCACTTTAAATACAGCAGAGCTTCCTCAAAAATAAACTTCATGACCTTCTCTTTTCTTGAAGAGAAGAGATGGTTTTCCTTGTAGCATATTGCATTTTTTTTTAATCCAGCAGAACAAGCTTTTTTACAGCTGTTTTTTTTTTTCATTTCACTATGGCATGAACCAAACAATGGTTTCTCCTTTTATATAACTTCAGGGCTGGTAGCCCCTGGCCAACTTAACCAAGACTCTGAAGCTAAGCCAGGTTCATTTTGATTAGTAAGATGATTGTCTAGAGATTTAAAAACCTGCATTGGAATAAGGCACTAAGTTTAGCTGGTCAACACGTTCAGCCAAGCTTTGGATAGCTTTGACGAGGAAGACTAATGGACAAGAGAAGGAATATGCCCCATGGATGCTACAAAGCAGAGATTCTCAATCTTGGCCCCTTTAAAACTTGTAGACTTCAACTCCCAGAATTCCTCAGCCAATGTGGTTGGTTAGGGAATTCTGGGAGTTGAAGTCAACCCATCAGCTACTTCGGCTGCCTGCCATTTGGCAGTTTGAATCCCACCAGTGTCAAGGTTGACTCAGCCTTCCATCCTTCCAAGGTGGGTAAAATGAGGACCCAGATTGGCTGACTCTATAAAACGCTTAGAGAGGGCTGTAAAAGCACCGGAAAGTGGGATATAAGTCTTAAGTGCTGTGGCTATCTTAAGGTGACCAAAGTTGAGAAACACTGCTTTAGAGCGACGCACAACGTCCCATCTCTTAAGACTCCTAGGTTTGCGTTCATTCAAAAGGAACATAGGTATGAGGTATGCATGCGAGAAGGACTGACTTATGAAAATGCTGGACACAATCTTGTCTTTGAAAGCTGGTCAGATGCCAACTACTATCCGGCGTCTGTAAGCCAGCATGTCGTTGAAATGTGCTCCTAAATACCAGATCTGGATAACCAATGTGAGCCATTTGGGTTTGGTCTTTCACACATCATTTGTCATTAAAAGAAGTTTGCTAAATCATTAAATGGCTTTCAGAAAGTCCTCTCAAATGGTCATTAAACGAGCTGGCCTAAGTCAGAACTACCTGTAGTTCTAAGACAGGGGTCTTCAAACCAGACAGCTTTAAGACCTGTGGACTTCCAACTCCCGGAATTCTTCCTCCTCCAGTCATGTTAGCTCAGGAATTCTGGGAGTTGAAGTTCACAAGTCTTAAACTTGCCAAGTTTGAAGACCTTTGCTCTAAGAAGTTTGAGAGGCTAGAAGTATGTTTTGAGAGATGAATTCATGAGCCTAGCGCTCTGTGAGGCAGCTGGCCATTTCTTACGTGGCACAGAGTTGCATAGCCATCTGTCTACTGTTGAAACACACATGTCCCTAAAGTTACGCTTCTGTTCATTTAAACACCTGGCTTTTCAAAACAAAATAAGAAGAAAAAAACTCACGCTGGTCCCTTCACTCAGAATGCTGTTTAAGGAAACTGTGCCCCTTTAATTGATGGTGCATATATTTGCTGCCAGGCCCTAACCCCCGTGAAATTATGGGGTTTTATTCCTGGAGTGGAGTGGCTCACCTAAGCCCATCTGTCGCTTTTGACATGGGACAGGCCCCCGTTCCCAAATCTGCCCCGAGGGCTATTTTTTTGAGCCTTCACAGTCGACAGTAAAAATAAAAACAAAAAAAGTCTTTGAAAAGAAAAATCACATTTCTACATGCTGGGAGTTTGTGGGGAAACGCCCCCCACACCTCTCTTTTCAATTCAGGCTCCGGGAGGCAAAGCTAGGATTTGCCAGGAGAAGGATACCTGGACAGGTGTGGTTAAGTGTCAAGGGTGGGCCTTCCTTCCAGCTCCTCCCATCCTGAATCCCCAAAACATTAACTGGGAAGGAAATCGTCCTCTTGGGCAGACAAAGGGAGCATCAGCACGTCGCTGGTTCCCGCAAAGAGGCAGCTCAGCTTGGGCTTCAGTTCGTTCCAGACTTTGCTCATCTGCGGGAAGGAAAGGAGACGGGCAGAAGTGGTCAGCAGAAGGGCGAGGAAACATCTGCAGAAGATGTCCTCCAACATCTTCACCTTCAACAGAGAGGCCCTCGGGTGCTTGAGGAAAACAAGCGAGAGGAACGCAAGAGCCGGACAGACATGCCAGCTGCTGGACAGACAGACAGACAGACAGACACAGACACACCACCTGGAAGGCCCTCACCTCCTTGTGGCCCTGGATCTGCGAGTTGACGAAGGCCCCCAAGATATGAGAGGTGAGCGGAAGGTAAATGTGGACGAGCTGAGTCTCTTGGTGAAGGCAGTAGAGGGAGAAGTAGTTACGCTGCTCCATGGTCAGGATCGCGTTCTCTTGCTGAGGGTGGGTGGAGAGAAGGAGGAGAAGCAGAAAGAGGGGGAGGAGAAGGAGGAGAGGGGAGGAGAAGGAGAAAAGACAGGGAGGGGAGAAGAGGGAAGGGGAGGAAAAGAAGGGGAAAAAGGAGACCGAAGAGAAGAAAGGGAAAGAGAAGGAAAAGAAGGAGGAGGAGGGAAAGAGAAGGAAAAGGAGAGGAAAAAAGAGACGG